CCCCGCCGGGGGCAGGGATGGGGACCTAGATTTTACCCCGGCGGGTATCGGGGGAGGTTTAAATTTGTGGGGGCGGGGGTAGGGAACGTAAAATCTGCCCTCGCCCCGCCCCGTTGCCATGCCTAATCAAATGTGATCAAGTTTCACTATTTTTTGTAAAAATACAAATATTCTTTTACAAGCCATTTTTAGCTCAACCTAAGTAATATTTGACCTATCTCTTCAAGCAAATATCCAAATATTTTTTTACACAAAGTCTCTTTAGACTTCAAACACCCAATTATTCTTTTACAGTCAAGTCTCTTCAGGCTAAAAAATATATGAGTATTCTTTAACAAACTAGTCTCTCTAAGCTCAAAACAATAACATAAAGTTAAAGTTGAGTAAACTAACAATATTATTTTTTCTCACCATCAAGACGTGATGCAACCAATTAAGTATAAAACTTTTTATAGAAAGAATGAATATAATTTTTACAATGTGTGTTATCTCTTTCTTTTTGGATTTCAAACTTCCTTTTATAGGGCTTCAATAGAGATGACCATTGCAAATCCTTAAATTTCTCTCATAGGCTTGTTTTGTCTATTTTTTGTTTTCCTTTCTTTGTAGAGAGAAGTGTTAGTTGGTGCATTAATTACTTGCATTAAATGTATTTTACCAAATTATCACTTTTTATTTGATCAAGAAAACTACTTATCACCTTTTAGGTATCAAACAAGTGAAGTCATGCATGTGTCAGTTCAAAATAACTTTTTTAGAGAATTTTCATGATTCAAGGAATCCAATTGTCTTTCTTCGTTGAAAAGCATGTCCTCCTTCTCTTTTGTCATTGCAAGTACCAAGGAAGTTATTTTTCTTTGATCTATTAAGGAATAATATACACAAATATCAATTTAGTTACCAGACATCATAACTGATATTATTCAATGTAACTACCTAACAAATGAAGTATTTTGTTTATTAGACACTTATGTCAAGATAACGAATCGTCTTAATGCATTCATCTTATTAAATGGTTTTAAAACTTTTCTCAAACAATGTTTGTGTCTGTCATCATTAAAACTTTATAGTTGAGAAATCTAAGATTATCTTTTAACTTAATAATCACACTTTTTTTTATGGTAACAAACATGTACTTAAGAAAAAGTGTTTGATGCAAATCTAGTTGATTTTTCTCATAGACGAAAGATTGCTTTTGAAAACCCATAGACATTATCTTACTTTTTATAAGATTTGTTGCGTTTTTATAAAAGGTTTGTCTTATTAAAGTAAAAAATGCGTGTTTGAATCAAATCAAAGATTTTATTAAGATGATTATGATATTTTACTAAGACTTTTATCAAAGGTAAAACATCACGAATGACTATATAAAAAAATATCAGAGTCAACTCATACAAAAAATTTCCAATAACATGCTTATTATGCTAATCATTAGATCCTACAATTTTCAAAGCATACATACAATGATTCATCAAATCAAAGGTCATTCATACTTGTGCATTTTTATTAGATCATAGTAAAGCAATGAAAGATTCATGCATGTATATTAAATCATTTGTATATATCAAAGCAATATAATAAAGCATAATATATTAGAGCATTTTGAATATTAGAGCATAGTATATCAATACATTTAACTATATTAGAGCATTCAAATATCTATATAT